GGATTCGAACCCTGGGCCGCTGCCTTTTTACCTTTTTCTTTATAATTTTATGCCTGACAATAAAACTTTTAGATCTTTTTCTTCCCGATGCCTTCATGTGTCTCATATATTATTGTCACCTACTTATTAAAAGACGTTTTTGATTTTTAACCCATTTTAGTCAAAGCCATCCTTTTCTACAAGGCAAAAACAACCCCACTCTTTTGCCCTGTTCATTTAGGTCACCTCTTATTTAGCAACAGCGTCATCTTAAATGTTTCCTTTGTCTTTTCACCACCAGCTCTCACTCTCTTCCTCTTGCAGACTCAAAAACACACCACTGTAGCAAAGAGAGTGATTTACTGTCACTGTTGGAATAGGGAGTTATACCAGTAATAAATTACAAAAAGAAACATAAAAGTCCATGCATTCATGATCATTTAGTTTATTTTTCACTATGGGCAGAGGGCCAGTTACTTCCTCCAAATTAAACAAAGATGTGAAAGTGGAAATTATATATACGAATAACTGGAACGCAGCTGCTACCTGACAACACCAGTAGAGAATAAGTCTTGACAAATAAATGTGTAATTTTCTGAAAAATTATAAAAATGGGTGGGGTTTCGTAAGACTTTTATTCTGTATCTTATGAGAAAAATGTGATAATTTGCGGAATTTGTACAATCACTCCTATTTTTTAAAATGGACCAACATAGAAAATATTTTGATGTATTTATTATTTACCATTTCTGCACCATTATAGTTTCCTGTCAATAACAGAGCACATAAACAACTTTCATGTTTCAAAAAAAATCTTTTAATCTATTTAAGCTCCTTATAATTAATAATCGCTTGTCTTTTATATAAAACTGATTTTAATAAAGTTTGTCAGTAGAGAATCTGGCAATGTGGGTATGAGAAACATTTGATACTGTGGTTTTGTTTCTCTGCACACATGAACATCTAGAAAATCCAGAGTCTTTCCAGCTGAAGCTTTCACTGAGACCATTTCTCATACTGAGGGAAGATGTTGCTCAACAGGTCGGACCTGCAGTACTTCAGCAAAGCCTCGTCCAAACCAGCAGGTGATGTCAGCTGTGTCGAGGGTAAAGAAGAAAAGTCTGTCTCTGCAGCGTGTCCTCCTGTAGACTGACCGTGGGTCTGCTGACAGCACCCCTCTGATAGCGGCAGCAGCCTCCTCTGGACTGCGCAGAAACTTGAACCTGGGTCTGTCACTCTCAGAGGCTCCTGTGTGACAAAAATGCTATGAATGTCTTTGTTCATATTCATTTCTTTCACAACAGCACCCTCTTGTGGAGAAAAGTACAACACCACCCTTTTCTCCGAGGGACAAAAGTCTTGAGGGTAGTGTAATGTAAACTCTAAGTCTAGCTTACCTGACAGGTGTGGGGGAAGGAATTCTCCCAACTGCCTCTGAGCATGTGGTGTGATGCGCACCTCCAGACTGCCAACAGGAGGTTCTCTGATCCAGCCAGCAATGGTGCTGTATGCCTCCTCTCCATAGCAAGGGTGGTCCACCATCGACTCCTGTGGTTTGGTTTTGGGTGAGTCTGAAACTTGATCCTCGCTCTCGCAGCTCACCTGGCGAACATCACCTTGGGTCACATATGCCCTGACGTCCTCCAGCACATTGTGGAAGTCTTTGGGGAGGGAAAACTGAGCGCTGCCTCTAGATGAGTCTGTGGCTGGAATATCAGGGAGGAGACTCCCCAAGTCATCAACATCAGTTGTTTCACTTTTTAGGTCTGACTGAGAATCTTTTTCTTCTTTACGGAGGTTTAATGTGTCTGTTGTCTCATTTAGCGACACAGTAGTTGCCTGTTGTTGGTCTGTGTTTAAATCATAAGGCTCAGAGTCTGTGCCCATCCTGGTGTGGGGGGAGTCGTACTCAGGAATGTAGGGTTTGATGTCTAGGACTGGGGTGCCAGCAATCATGTCAATGTCTGACAGATGTATTGTATCATCTAGAAAATAAAAGTAGGAAATCATCTGTTTCCATCCAGCAGTCAATTACTTGTTTTTGCAATTGAGTTTAAATTTGACAGTTCAGATTTCTAGTATATTTAACTTTAACTGCAAAAGGAAAAAACATATACATTACATGTGGTCTATCATTTAGAGTTTAAAGGAAATGATATGTTTACACTCTGCTAAATCTGTTCATTGATTCTCGCAAAGACACAATTATTGAAGACACTCACCTGCAATCTTATCGAGTTTAGCTAGAGTTAAGCCCAAGGCATTTGGGCGGTGCGGACTGCGTGTCGAGTACACACCAACTCTCTGACCATTAAGTCTAGGAGGCTTCACTTTGGCTTTATAACTCATGTGCCCGTTTTTGTGAAAGAGAAAGAGGATCCTGTGGAGACCAAATGGGGAAACCACACAGATGACATCAAATTAACAGCAGATACATTAAGTGTGTGCAGACTTGGTTTTAGACCTTGTCTAAAATAGGGGAGGAAATACTAAATCCTCAGTCCACAAGCGCTAATCTCACATGGCTTCATATCCTTATATGAGACAGGTGAAAGGTCAACTCATTCAAGCAATGAAAGGTCGGCATTAAACTCAAATGTCTCAATGAAAATGCCTATTAAATGGTTTTAATTCATGCTTTGGTGCAATTACATTACATCGTTTTAAAAGGTTTTGTGCAGACTCTTGACATCAACTGCACATGTTGGTGCACAACAAAAAGCCACATTCAGCATATTGAACCTACAGCATTTCAATAAGGTGATAATAAAAATGTTGTTCTTTTTGAGCCATTGCATTCTGGCATTCTGTCACTTTTTGCTTATATCTGAGATAATGGCAAACCATGGACGGGACTGTAGAAGAGACTAAGTATAAACATGCCACTGTATGTGACCTACCACACATGTGAGTATTGCTCCAGGCCCACCAGAGCGTGCTCAGGGTTATTGAAGACGCTCTGCCGGATGCGCAGTTCAGCCCTTGAGGGGCCACAAATGGTGGGCTGTCTGGGGGTCCCATTCTTCACAGAGAAACAGGAACTAATGTAACCAATCGGGACAGTCTGGATGTTTCCTGCAACGTCACACAGTTAGTAATGTTTATAACATTTGTAACAAAGTAACATAGATTATCCTTTCTGCACACTTTCTTTGCTGCTTGTCATTTATATTAACCCGTACTCTGCACCTCCTTTTTTCTCTTATATTTTTATTTATTTAGTATATTTACGTATGTATGAATAATATATTCAGTATACATTTTTATTTTAGTGCTGAAATGATTAATCACACAATTAACTAAGTAGTCAATTGCCAGAAAATGAATCAGCTGCTTTTCTCTGATTTATAATGTTGTAAATTTAATTCACAATTAATTTAATGTCACCTTGCACCCTTTTTTATTATTTTATGTAGGGATTGGGGAATTCTAGGCCGAAACCACTGTTTAAAATAATAATTTGGCTGATAGCCAATGTTTTTTTATTTATATATTATTTATTCACCCTTTTGTGACAGGGAAACAGAGGAATCTACAAATATAAGCATTTCTGCTTCTGTTACAGCACAGTCTATTTCTCTTTTCATCCAAGAAGTGAGATGAAGTATGAAGGAGCTGAACAGCCGCTCGCTGTCCGTGCCGCTGCTTGGAGCACATCTGTATTTGTGTAAAATTTGCATCAGTGCTAGAAAATAGAGCTTATTATTTCTCCAATATCCAAGTTGGAAATAACCAACACAACATTCAGCCAACTCAAAATTGATGTGACACAACAGATAAACATTGGCCACTGATATCGGTGAATGCCATTTTATTTGCCAATAAGCAGATGTCAGTCAACAGGGTGAATATGGGCCGATGTATCGGTGCATCTCTAGTGATTGAAAGTGAGTTATTTTACTATGTATACTGAGAAACATGTTTATTATAAGGAAGTTCTGAAATTGTCTTTATTTTCATTACAACTGTTGAGACTTTACAACTGTAATAACAATGAATTACCTTGCTCTAATGCAGCTTGGCCTGATGCTGGTGAAGGTGGTGGTGGTGTCTGGTCTATATCAGGTTCACTGAGTCCAATGTTTGACACGGCAGACTGAATGGAGACCATATGTTTGCGATGAGCTCTGACCGCACTGTCCAACATCTGCCTGTTTAGGACAGATACAAATAAACACCAAATAAAACAGGGCTGCACGATATGCTTAAAAAAAACATAGTGTGATTATTTTTGACAGATATTGCAATATGATTCACAGTTAGTTTGGAAATCATTATTTTTGCATCACAATTGTAATTTTCACAGTTTTTTGGGGGGTCTGTAGCAAACAAACCAGGTTTCTTAAATCTGGAGAACATTTGAAGGCCAGTGCATCTCTGCAGCACTACAGTTCATTATTATAATGCTGTTTTGCCACACATTTATCAAAGAAAAATGCATGTTTATTGCGATTTCTTTGATATTTCAATTAATTGTGCAGCCCTAAAATTAAATAGAAACAGAAATAGTTTCTACAAGGAAGCAGAGACAATACAATCCACTACAGCAAAAGAAGGGTTGTATAATAACAGCGTAAAGGTACAAATATACTGTCAACTAAAACACAACTGATACAGAGGTGAATTTTGTTTTTGTTTGTTTACTACCTGCGCTGCTGTAAACATACCTCAGGTTCTTGATTTCTTTTCTCATCACAGAAACCTGCTGATTAAGCTTGTGAATGTGCTCACCGCAGCAGTCACACAGAGGACTCATCTCACTGATCTAAAGGAAGACAAGGAAGGACAGACTGTCCTCAATGAGTCCACTTTTAGCTCGTCGTTCAACAGCAACAAACCGCACGCTGACAGAAGCATGTGGGAGTTCAATGCGGAAGAACATGTTGGACTTCCGGTTGGAGTGTTTCACGTGACAATATCCGAGCTGTGCAGCTTTTAGTCGGTTTGTCACAATCTGTATTTTGTGGGTTGTAACGTTAATGTTTGTTTTTTTCTTTTTAAAATAAACACTACTTGCAGCTGACACACATTAATTACACATTAATGTTGCAGAAGTCATTAATACACTTGTGTCTCAGGCCAGCAGAGGGCAGCCAAGAGTTATGTCACTGTCATTTATTTATTTTTTTAAACAAACTTTATTTATAAATACACAATCTACAGTCAGTGGTGGAATGTACATGTAGTGTTTGCTTTTACTCTGCTTACACAACTAATCAGTCACATAATAATAATCAATCAACATGTTACTTTCCAGATTCAGATTTTACATAACGTTACAAAAATTAGGATAATCTGATATAATACAATGCAATGTTAGAGATTAAACAGAATAAAGTAGTTCCACCTCGCCAGCTATGACATTAAAATGCTGCCTCCCCCCCCAGTGGTGGAATGGGGGGGGAGGGTACGTTTACTCAAGTACTGTACAAATTCACTATTTAATTAGAGTTACATGTCTTCTTGAGTATTTCCATTTTATGCAACTTTATACTTCTACCCCACTACATCTCAGAGGCAAATATTGCACTTTTTACTCAGCTCCATTTTGTCTTACAGATATATTTACTAGGGATGCACAATGTGGATTCTTTTCCCCAGCCGATACGATGACCAATATATGCCAGCTTCTCATGGTCGATACCGATAAGATCACAGATCATTATAGCATTATTGTATTTAAAAAAAAGTTCATAACCTGTAGTTTTTACACACCTGATGGTAAGAAAGGATAAGCTGTAGTGAGCAAAGATGAATGATTTAATATCCTGTTCTAACCAAATCTAACTGAAGATAAAGTCTATCAATCGTTTAGCATAAGAATTCCAACTAAATGGTTATTAATATCAACCGATAATTTATTGGCTGTAATATAATTATCCCGATAATTTATAATAATATACATTTCCTATTATCGGTGGATAATTTATCTGTCCTGATATTAATCGTGCATCCCTAATATTTACTTCTTTACATTTCTTTTTCATACCCTTCCTGTCCAGGGAAAGCCATGTATGTCCAAATTTGGTTATGTTAAATTGAATCTGTCCTTATAAACTGATGGATTACATGTTCCTTTATTGGTTGAGAAATAAACGTGGTTCTAACAGGACAGTGACACTACGAACATATTTGATTAAACTACCCAACAGTATATACAGCAGTGAAATTCAACATACACATTGACACACAAGTAATATTAATCCAAAAACATCTTATAATAGTAAAACACTGACAGGGACCACTTCTGCAGAATGAGTACATTTACCTTTGCCACTTAAGTAAATTATTGGTGATAAAACTTACAAGTACAGTTTTGAATGTAAGTCTTTTACTGGGTTGTTTTTCACTGTTACCTGCTAGTGCATAATCTAATAATATAATGTATAATAACATTACACTGACTGTGACCATTCTGCTGTAGAAGCACTTTTTATATTTGATACAGATTTTGAAAAACATTTTGCTGATATTACTCATTTGAATTCAGGACTTTTTGTTGTAATGGGATAATTTTACATTGTGGTATATATGTATATATACATGTCTTCCAACTCTGTATATATAATATTAAGGAAAGTACAACCGGCACAATAAGAGTGGGCAAACAATGTAGAGCCAGGTGTACCACAGGCAACAAACAAGGCATAGATTAAATACAAGTATGCAGATAATCTGTTCACTGGAAGGAATAATGACTGGTACTTTTTAATTTCAATGACCAGAACATTAAAAATGGTCTATTGTTAGAGTTTTATATACTTATCAGTTAGAGTGCAATAAATGTGTTGTATTTACATAATCTGAGTAACATTTGGCCATAGTTACTACTACTGACGGTTACATTTTGTAACACAGTAAATAGAGGGATACAAATCTATTAACTAATTTGAAGGAAATCTGTGTCTATGAATGACGCAGATAATAATGACCACAGTCAGATGATTGTAAGCTGGTTAATTTATTAAGTGAAAAACAACTTTTACAAAATTCAATCGAATAAATCCACAACTACAAATACATAATTACCAGTGATTTATCATTTACTTTTAGATAAAAGCAGGCAAAATTTGCTGTTTACTAAATGCAAAATACAAAATAAAATTCATGAGCTTCGCCGTGAAGCATAAACCAGAATAAATAAGCATACAGGTTTGAATTCATACATTTGGCAAATAAGCGATGCATATGCTCAACATGTTTATTCTCTTCAACCTCAACAGGCTGCACACTAACCAAAACAATAGTCAGATACAAACTGTGACCAAAAAAGATGAAGTCTGGCTTGCGTGTTCTGAACTGAGGCAGTATCTGAAATGTGTGTTTTAGAAAATTAGAATGAGTTTCCTGGGAAGTATTCTTGTGGAGGAGGCGGCTGTGGGAAGGTGGGAACTGAGAACATTTTGTTTTGTTCAGGTACGTTGATCAACGGTGTCCCACTCAAATCTAGAAAAAAACACACAGATAGGATACAATTAGTTTTAAGACCTTCAACCAGGCAGGTCATTCTTCTAGAAGTCTAAATTTCCTCTTTATTACCTTCATCAGCTCTTTTGTCTTGAGGTACAGGGGTATCTTGCTCCTCATCTGGGCCCAAGTCCTCAATCAAGACCTGGTCAAGGGCTTTACTGCCTTGTGACCCTATGTAGAAGGGATCCACCTGGGGGGGAGCTGCAGAAGGAGCTGCAGCTGGATCAGAGGTGGTGACTGGAGCAGCATCTGGAGCTGGAGCCAAATCTTGGACGGGGACTGGAGCCGTATCTAGATCTTTGGCGGGAGCTTGGGCAGGAACTGAAGGTGAAAAAAGGGCTGGAGCTGGAGGAGTCAGAGTAGGAGCAAAGACTGGGCTCCTGATGGAGCCAAACAGTGGCAGAGGAGATGGGGCAGCAAGGACAGATGCTGGTTTTGATTCCACAGCAAGTAGGGGTGATAGAGAACTTGCTGTTTGATCTAGGATGACCTCAGTGGGTTCAGGCACCACGACTACTGCAGGACCTTCCTGAGGCGGTGCTGCCTCTTGCTGAATGGCAGATACCTCCGGTTTGGGTTCAGTCTTTCTGGGCCTCCCTTTCTTCTTTGCACCGCTCCTGTCCTCAGCCCTCGGTCTTTTCCTCTGGCTTTCCACCCTGAAATACAGTACAACAATTGTAATCAACCTCAACAGTGGACGTTGGTATAAGCTCTTTGTGATACTTTTGCAAAGCTAATAGTACAAAGTCCTTGACCTGGATCTGGGGCGTCAATAGAAACACCAGAGCAACCTTTGGTTTCCTCTTGCTCCACATTCAATATAAAGCAGAGGAGTGATAAGCAGCTGATAATGTTGTCACATTGTGAAGTACAGTGTTTTATAATACAAGTTTTGTGAATAAAACCCCACTAAACCTTCCTAACTGATGCTCAGATTTACTCTCCATTGCATCAAAACATTTAATCTGATGATAACTTAAGTAAACATAGCTGTAAATGCTAAAACTGCAACATTAACTGTGCTTTTCTATAAATTTACCCAAAGACCCACTGGTTAGTTTCCTTCTCTTCGGCTTCAGCCTTTCTCTTCCTGAGAAGATCCCTGTCCCTCAATCGACGACGGATCCCACCTATAAGACAAAAAACCCATTCAGAGAAACCAGTCTAACAAAGGCGGTATAAAATCACAAGATATGCAGAGCAGCATTTTTACACATGACAAGTGTGAGCAACTGATAGCATATAAAGATGTGGTTTATAGACAGACATGTTTTTTTTCACTCTGAGCTTTAAAATACAATTACACAGATGGACTAAACTTGTCTCCTATTTGCAGTAACGCAGCTTAAATGTTGGTCTGAGTTGACCTTAAGACTCTACACTGTATGCACATGAATAACTACCTCACTCAACTTTCTAGAGTGGAAGTGTTTAAGTAAGTCATTTCAAAAGAAGAGATGAAGAAATGTAAAAAAGTTAACCTTGATCCTCGTTGGGATTTTTATATTCCGACTCTTGTTTCTCTTGTTGCAATGTCTCCTCCATTCTGAGTCCTATGAATGAATGCAACTCATTGACGGCGGGCAAACACACAGAAAAGAAGACAGAATAACTTCTGACTGTTTTCTATTCCCACCCCTAAATGAATTATCTGGTTAACCATTACCATATGCTGGAAGAGTTCTTGCAGCTTTGGTCTTATCATATTTGTAAAGCTGGAGGAGTTGGCACAGCAGTCACATAGAAAAAAAAGAGACTGGAGCAAGTTGTGTGTGGGCAGTGTGTGATAAAATATGAATATGGTATAGGAGGAAATACATATAGAAGTAGGCTTATTAGACTAAAAAATAAAATAAAGAGAATGTGTTAAATGCTGGTTTAATTAAACTAATGAAAATACTGGAAAATAAAAGAGGAGTCTTCTGTTTTTGTATGCAATACCATCAGCAAGCAGTTGATAGTAAAGCTAAAAAGGCTGCGGTTGCTAAACAATGGTAAAAGTATATTTTGACTGAATTTAGACAATTATTCAGTGTCTAAATTGCCTGATATTGATGGAGGGTACAAAATAGCTAAAGAGTTAAATTAAGTTCTGAATTTAAATAAGTCAATATTCCAAAGCACTACATGTTGCTTTCTGCATGAATAATACTCAATACTAATAAACACATTTTTATTAATGCTAAAATCTGTCTTTTTTTCCCCCCTAAATAGATCGAATGTGTTAATGAGCGCTCTGGGTGAGACTACTATGTTGAAAAGCTATTAGATGAAGCAAGAAATCCTGTCTTTGGCTGGGGCATACCCATCTTATCTCACAGATGGGGAGCTGCGCAGTTGGGGTGTGTTCTCAATCTTCTCACAGCACATGGAGCCCTGATGTGTGTGTTTGAGCCATTCAGAGAAAGAAGCTGTCCAGCGTAGAGTAAATAACACTCAACTGCCAATTGCCTTCGGCACCGTAGAGGAAATGTTTAAGGTCTCTTGGTTAAATTCACTCACGTCTGCACTGAAGGAGCTTCTTGCAATTCACACACTTTTCCCTAAGATTGTGGTAAGAGAACTGTAATCTAAATTACTGTCTGAGTTCATGCAGTATTTTCTTTATCGATAAGATTTTATTGATGCCAACAGGTTGCTGTGGAAAATATGCCCTTGCAAGGACAGACAGTGCAGAGTATTATAACCTCCTTATGTTAAATCTAAACAAAAACAGACACACACATAACCACACATCCCAAAACTACTTTGAATATTTAAGACAATCAGCAGCACCTCCTCCTATCAATGCTGCACACAGTTCAACTCTAACAGCTGGTTAAAAGTCAGACACACACGTCTTCCCAAATGACCGACAATTATCTGCATTACTGTTAGAGCCAGAAGTAGAAAAGCCTGCCACTCATTCACACACCCCTACTGTTGCACAATGAAACTCAAGTTTGAGGAATGTCAGAGTAGATATTACACTGCCATCTTCTGGTGTGCCTTTTCAACTACCAAACACTGATTTTAATAACATTATATGCATATATGCTCTGTATGGGCAACTTGCACCAGAGAAAAGATAGATTATTTGGATAATGTGCACTGAACAGTGGTTATACAGCGTTAAGTAATTTGTGTTAAATCTTACAGACTAGACATAAACAAATATACATATAATTTGACAAAAATCCCAAATATAATTGATTTATATTCTTAATTTAAAAAAAAATCAACAATTCATTCTCAGTAGACTTCTTCTTGAGGGCTGTGGCGTCTCAGGAAGTAAAGGGGGGGTTGTGTTAGAGGGGGTGCCTTACTCTCCATATGTATATACAATGCTCTCTTTACTGCAAAACAAACACACCCTCCTTTCTTGGGTTAAAGGAATCTGGCATTTATGAACCAAAAAAAAAGTACAAACACAATTTATCCATTTTGCAGTTTATTGATGGAAATTGTTTAAATTGTCACCAGCGTTTACAACTTCATCACACAATTTAATCTAACAAAGCAGTTGTTTTTTTCAGCTTTGGTGGGCAACAGGTTTGAGTAACATTCAAAACATGATGTTTCCCGATGATTTTACATAGTTTACCTTTCTTACACGCCGAAAATGAAAACAATAACAACATAAAGTTTAATACAGCACGTGGAGCACGCTTTAAAAGCTATGAAACTTTATTAAGTTAAGCAGATAAACAAAGCTCACCGTATGACCTACTTTAACGACGTCTAATTGGTTGAATGCAGTTTTGAGTACACTGTACACATGTATTCTGCACTCCTTCGTTTAATAAAAAGTGATTTTATATAGACAAAAAGCCTCTTGTCTCCACTTCACACACAGTACAGTAGTTTCCTTTGCAGAAATAAATTGCACCATAGCACTGTTTCGGGGCAGCGTCATGTTTTGTGACTGCAATGCCTTTGTGGAGGCGATGGGCGGCTCTGAACGCAGATGGCGCTGTTGAGCATATATTTTGTTTCAGTCCCGTTTCCCTCCATGGTTTCTCCTCTCTCCGACTAACTTAGCGTTTGGCTCAGTTCATTATACAGTCCTATATTCTCCCTCCATTAGGGCATCTCTGCCTTTGGACTGAAGATCCCACCAAAACCCAAGAGAGAAAAGTTTAACTTTCATAGGGCACGATGGACATGAAAAAGAGGATCCACTTGGAGCTAAGAAACAGGACACCGTCTGATGTGAGTCGTGCTTTTTTAAAACCAACCCTTAGTTTTCTGGCTAGCCTTGTTAGCCAGCTTGCTACTTTTTTTTTTTTTTTTTGCTTTGCGAGTGACCTGTGTGGCTAACGTAATGGTGACCACATGGGCTTTAGATTATGTTTCTCGTTTATAATAGGGCGGAAAACACTCGCAACACAACAAGCTTAATCCTTTTATACTGTTGTGGATTTGGGCGTACAGGGGCAACGAGACGAGAAAAGCTATATTCAATCGTTACTTTGAAACGGCGATTCCTCAGCTTGCTGGCATTATTGCAGTGCTTTAACCGTTTCGCAGCCTCCTCGGTCAGTGGTGCACACACGATTCAGCTCGACTCCACCGTTGTAGCACAATTAGTAAACTTCTTTTTACGCGGATATATTAGGAAATGTCCCCCCTTGCGCCGCATTCACAGAGTGGTATATTTTATACAGACCTTGGAAGCCATGTTTGCTGCTAGCATAACTGCTAAAATGGGGGGGCTTTTTTTTTTTTTTTTTTTTTTTTATAAATAAAATATATTATTATTATTATCGTTACAAATGCTCTTTACAACTCCCGAGGCGATCGTGCAATAAAATAGAAAATATTTTAAAAAATAAATAAATATTAAATGTTGGTTACACGTTAAGTTAAACGAGTTAAATGTCTGTAGTTAATATCAAATGGTCAGATTCAGCAGCGACAACAAAAAAAAAAAAAACAGTCACTTGATTCACGAGTCATCCATAGCTTGACCATTACAACAAAAAGAAAGCCTGTGTTACTCTTAACCAGTTCACCTTTTAAAGCCACCACACACACATCAAATAGCCAACTATTCTGTAAAATCCTTAAAAAGGGGCTTTAAAGCCTGTATAAGTTTTTAAAAAGGGAGTGTGCAGCGGGTTTAATTCCCCCTTAAAAAAATAGCTTGCACACTTGTGTAGCAGCTACGTTGCCCTTTCATATCGGTGAATCTGCTCGTCTAAACATTGCATACTTATTTAATGAAATCTGGTCATCAGATGGTTCAGAGTCAGTCATTCAGACAACAGCAGCCCACCTAACTTAGTATTTTTGTTCCCGCCATATTACCCCCTTCGCTACCCCCTTTTTTTTTTTTTTTTTTACCATAGTACACTTTTTTTTTCTTTTTTTTTTGTTGGTCGCTCGAAGACACAAAATATATCCAAGCCTGTTACACTCTGAGAAACATCAAAAACAACTCGGGTTCTTTTCTCTCCGTGTCATCAAATAAAAATCAAACTTGACACTGTTGTTTTGTTCTCACGGAAACTACTGAGAGTATCAAAATGTTGTTTTGGCCTAAAAGAAGCGGCTCCATTTAACCGAGCCAGCCTGCTTGAATGACATCGGAGATCCGGTGCACCTCGCTTGATGCGTGGGCAAGCCAAACACTCGACCGGTCGGGTCTTCCTCTCGGACTCATGCAGGAATAAAAAAACCAAGAACATCGACTAAAAAAATACAAACTCTACAATAACGTGTAAGTCCAGGATACCATTACTAGCTTCATAAAACACACGTTTTGTGTGCCATCGAAGTGTTCAGCGCGGCATACTGCTATCTTCAGAATCGCCAGTTGTCACTTCTGTCGTCTTTGAAGCTCTGGGAGAACAGGAACTGTCTCCATCTTGTGTTTTTTTACTAAATTTCCGTTCTCAATGTAGTTTTCCTTCGACCTGAAAACTGTTGGAGTGCCCTGTGACAACACTCGCAGCATAACGGTGCGTGCGCTCGAACGACAAACGCATCGGATTCCACCCTTCGCCCCAAATGAAAGCTGGTTTGTAACGGCGGATTTACTAAGGGTGTATTCGCAATCCTTTCCGTTGCTGTTGGGTTGGCTAATGGCGGGCAGACAGACCTCTGTAGCTGCTCCTCTACCGCACGGCAGCGTTTAAAAGGGGGCAATGGCTAGCCTGTAGCGAGCTAGCACACCAAAAAATCATTGCATTTGTCATTAGTGACTGCATCAGCCAGGCCATGGGAAGCTACCGCGTTGGTTCTTCCTCGTTTCTATAGAAATCAATTCATTCACCGTCGTGCCGGGGATACATGAAGCACACGGTGACTCCAAGTGTTTTTAGGCGGAGACACAGTGTCCATTTCGGGGGTTTTTAACTTGAGAAGTCGTGATCTTTGACGGTTGACAACAACTTTTTTTGCAACGTTTTAGTCCAACGCTGAATTGCGCAACCAGTGTTAGCTTTAACTGCCTCAAACTAACTCCGCCTTCAGACTTGTTTTTCTAATATTTTACAGCAACTCTAAAATGCTTTTTTTTTTTTTTAAGTTATTTTACACAAAGTAACAACAACAACAACAACAACATCCCCTATTAAAACACATTATGGTTGTATTGTTTGCCAGCTTGTTTTCTTAATGATTTAGCTTACAGAAATCACATTGTTTTGTTTTTAGAGAAGATACTTTGTGACAATATTATTGTAAATTTGATGAGTTTTAGATTACATTTTAATAATGGGTCAGTAGTAAGTATAGATTGACTAAATGCATAAAACAGTTAACGTGAAGTTTATTTTAACGTGATATTATATACTTTTTTCTATATTTCAGGTACGAGAACTTGTCCTTGACAATTGTCGATCAGTTGAAGGAAAAATCGAAGGCCTCACGGCTGAGTTTGTCAACCTGGAGTTCCTCAGTTTGATAAACGTTGGCTTAATCTCAGTTTCCAACCTGCCTAAATTAGGAAAACTCAAAAAGGTAAAGCGTGATGTTTCACTGTCGTACCTGCATGTAAAATGTGTCTGAATTGTGATGAGTTATCAGCTAAATTAATACATCCTTCTATCATCTTTCAGCTGGAGTTGAGTGACAACAGAATCAGCGGCGGCCTTGATGTTTTAGCAGAGAAACTACCCAACCTCACACATCTAAATCTGAGTGGCAACAAATTGAAAGACATCAGCACATTGGAACCATTGGTATGCATTCACCACACGTATGCACCCACCACACACACACACATCCATCTGCATGCCTACACAATGTGGATACGTAGTCTGAGGTTGGTGCCGACATTGTGCTTTTTTGTTGTTTTTATCTCATGTTAATGCAAAATGTTTTTCTAAGTGGACAAAGCACTTTGAATATTTATACTAAATCTTGTTATGTACACAGCTGTATTAATTATAATGTAAATGTGATTACAGTACATTAGCAGTTGTACTCAACCCACACCGTACAAACAATATATAAACATTTATAATTTCAGCACTACTTTTCTGTATTTGGATGTTCATATTCTAACTATTTGTTGTTACACTCAGTTATATACTGAGGATAGCCTCCTTATCAATAGCACGTGTATTTAATAACCACTTATATTTCAAATAATTATTGGACATTCAGTGTATAGGAGAAAAACGGATTCAGCATTCTTCTAGTTAAGGGTGCAAACAATTGCATTGTATTTTATGATCTAGTAGATTTTCCAGACATTTGAGGCTGAGAAATTTGAGCTTTATTGATAAAATAACAAGATGCAAAAGTATTTTTTGTGTAATCCATAAAGTTCCCAGCACATTGATGGAAACCTCTTCTAAATCTAAATCCCAATACAACCAGATATATTAGAGGGACAATCAACTCTGTATAAACTGTACTTTATAGTACATATCGCCCAACGTTATGCACAGAATACACACATTGGCATGTAAGTGTCCTTAACTCAGCAGTTCAGCAGCAGTTTCTAATCACAGCGTTTGATCAACAGAAAAAGCTGGATAACCTGAAGAGTTTGGACCTGTTCAACTGTGAAGTGACAAACCTGAATGACTACAGAGAGAGCGTGTTCAAGCTGCTGCCCCAGCTCACCTACCTGGATGGCTATGACATGGAGGACAGGGAAGCCTCTGACTCTGACGGAGAGGTGGACGGAGAGGGCGTAGATGATGATGAAGATGAAGGTAAGAAGTTCTTCCGGTTCCTGGTGTAACGGTGTCGTTAAGTGTTGGACTTTGGTCACAGCATGACTCCACTTTGTTTGTGGTTACAGAGGGAGAGGAGGAGGAAGACGAGGATGGAGAGGAGGAGGACTTTGACGAGGAAGAGGATGATGAGGAAGATGAAGAGGAGGTAGAAGGAGAAGAGGATGATGATGAGGTCAGCGGAGAAGATGAGGTAACACACACACACACACAAAAAAAAGCTTGATAGGATAATTATTGTGTTGTGTCTGTTTTTAACGTGAATTTTTGTTTACCAAGGAGGAAGATTTCGGTCAGGATGGGGAAGTCGAGGATGAGGATGAGGATGAGGATGAAGATGATGACGGTATGTGGCATTACCTTTTGTTTGAACACACCCTTTCACCTATCAAAAAAAGGCATCAAAATCCAGACCTTAACATAGTTCAAACTATAACTTTGTCTCAACACTACCTTGATCTCTCTTCCTATTACAACTCTCCACGAGGCCGATGCTGCCTAAGATTTAAGTCCAAAATCTTTCTATGAATTCCACACAAGTGGTTCATTTATTTCCATTTGTGTGTACTCATAACTATTAAAAGTGAGTATGCAAAATGATTCTACGCAGTACACAGTGTCATATATTGCCTGTTATTAAAGTGTGGTGTGTGTGTGGGCAAAGGTCAGTAGTCAAATAGAGTTAATCTGCAGTTGGAAACAAAGCAGTTTGGCTATTAGTGGGAAAGCAGGGTGGCCTAGTGGGCACAAGGTCCTTCAGATTTTATATTTATTTGTACATAAGCTACAGATTTGAATAAAGTTGTGAGTAAAATTGTGCATAGAACATTGAGTACATATATTTTATATGGGTGCCGTGGATTTGATAATGACTAATAAAACTTGGTATCAGTAATAATACGACACATACTCTGGATTCTGTCTACAGACGAAGCTCTGTGCAGAGGGAGTCCAAAAAGTTCACAGGGCCTTATCAAGCGGCTGCCTCAATGATTACCCATTACACACTTTTCATAATATAACTAATATAAGACACTATGCACTATATATCTGCTACAAGTAAAAACTGTATAAGAATGTGAATCAGAGGATGAAAGAAAACTAACAGGTGTGAGTTTGAGAAGGGCCGGCTAAATCCTGAAAAATGTCACTACTGAAGATGCATATCTGACACTGTTTATTTTGAGCTCCTAATCTTGTAACATTATAACATGTAGGGACAGCAAAACATAGTAGACCATTCTTAAACACTTCCCCACACTCCTTAGGATCACACTAGTTTATAATGCTGAAATATTTAAGTTGTTTTTTAATAGTTAACACTAAATACGTGTAAATAAGCCTGGGTATATGTAAAATATGTAACACACAAACATTATATTGTATGTAGAATGTAAAAATCCTCCGTAATGCGATTCCTGCACGACTAAAGTACGAAACTACGAGACCAGTCGTAGTTCTGGTGTCTGCAGACGAAATATTCCCTTTATATTCGCTGTTGTGCTAGGTTTTGCGTTCTTCGCACCTGATACGCCACATGACGCATGATTTCCTCTTTGTCCCCAGAAGCAGAAACTGGCAAAGGAGAGAAGAGAAAGCGAGACCCAGAGGACGAGGACGATGACGACGACGATGAAGACGACGATTAAGAGCAAAACTGAAAACGAGAGCCTACCGAGTTACCCTTCCTCCCCCACAAACCCGAACGTCCGCCCTCCTATAACTCGCACCGCCTTTGTAATCCACGTCTACCCCCCCCCCAGCTCTGAGCTCTTTTTATGGGGCAAGACTGTACCGGATGGGTGGGCCAAGGGGAGCTGCCCTCCCCTTTTTTTCTCCCCCCCCTCCCATGGAACTGAGAGCCACCAAACACCCTCCACCTCACCCACCCCACGGCCCCCGAGGTTCTCAGGCAGCCCAGCACTCAGCATTCCACAATTTCACTGTCGATCCCTCTTTATGTATTCCCGTGTGAGGACTTTGGGACTGGTATCTAGTTTTGGGTCTGTGCTTTTAATATTTTGTTGAATTATTTTTTGTTGTTGGGTTTATTATTTCTCATTTTTTGTCTTTATTTTATTTTTTTTTTCTGTTCCCTATTTTTCCCAATAAAATTATTGCTATAGCAGCTGTGCAACCAGCGAGCCATGATTTTTAGTGTGGCCGCCTGTTGCACAAATCAAGGTTGTAGCTACATTTTTACTTTCTGTATGACAAAAAAAAAACTTTGTAAATAAAATGTTAACATTTTGTGCTTTTCTCTCGTCCTGCCTTGCTTTTCTGGTGTCCAAAAATGAGATAAAGGGATGACAGTGTGACCATAGGTACATTTTTCTCATCCACCCCTGATGTTACACTCTCATTTTGTTCCCTGCACTGATGGCGACTGTAGACAGTCCACAGGAAAGGCTAATCTTGAAAGACAGGCGTAGTTGTTGTTTTTTTACAGGTCTATCCTGATATAATACTCACATGCCAATTTGTATGTGGAAATAGCTATTAGTTGTTGTATTGACTACTCTTCTCCATACTTGCCACGTGGAGACTCTTTTCTTGTGAGAACAATGTACGAAATGGGGGACAAAATCCAGTTTTCATTTTGTAAAAGTTAATCTGTTTACTTACTACTACTTCCAAAGGTAGTCTTTTTTTAGTATGAAATTCCCTTTGTTAGTAACACAGTGAGCTTTTAAAAAGCCCAACTCACTGCCAGTCTCATATTAGCTTTTGGTAAATACCCTATTGCACAGAACGAGGTCTGCAGATTTTGTCCCCATCTCTTACACTGGACTCAAAGTAGGAAAGGATCACTTTGTGGCCAATATGGATGGGAAAAATGTCCACAGCAGTAGTTCCCAGCCATTGTTTGGCTTGATAAGCCCCCGACAAGGCAATGTCTACTTGGGACCCCTCATCACAGGCTGCATACATCTGTGAGCTGTTAGCAGTCAAATCTTTCTAGGTTGTTTCATTTGAATAACTTTTATAGGGCTGAAGAGGAGGAAGTGTTGAGGATTTTACAAAAATAAAATACAACTGAAAAATAAATTTTGTATATAGCAAAATATGCTATGTGTTGTTTTTCCTTTCCAATCTTTTAATCAATCAATGACCCCTTACATTGATGACCTCTTAGAGGGTTAGACCCAGGTAGTTTACAGCAACTAATAACTTATAATGCACCTATGAGCATGTGAGTATTGTTTTAAGACAGACTTGAAAAAAAGTAAACATATCCTTTAAAAGTTTCCCCCTGCATGAGGTTAATGCTGAAGTAGCCTGTAGTGTATATTACATTCTGTAGAAAGTCATTTTTCACTTTATAGAAACAGTAATGTTGCCCTGAGATAGAGAGCACTGGTCTGTAACGCCTTTATTCTTAACATTAAGCCCAGCAATAGCAACCAAACTGCATTACAGTGCTTCTGAGGGACAATAATTTGTTTTTAAAATGTTGTGCATCCTGATCTTCTCCAGGCTGCTGCCTCTTTTAGCGCTCATGTTTGAATTTTTAACACAAGCCACAGTCATCGTACAGATGAAAAATGTTGGCCGTCCACATGTTGCAGCCTCAGACGCTACTAAATAATGAAGAGTTAACAGAGGAAGCCACAGAAGCGCTGCTGTTTTTGCAACAAAAATAACTGCTCAAAAATTAATGTGTTTGTGCAATTGAGTGAAAGGTTTTTTTACTTCAATGTACTGTTTTAGGAGGGACAATATTCTGCTCTATTAGAGAAAAGACAAATGGAGTTCCCAGAAAATTATAGTAAGTAAGTATATTTTATGAGATTACCATTTCATACACATTTTAGAAACAATATTAAAAGAAATTGGATAAAATCTTCTTTCAGTTTTTACTAAATATATTTAACAATTTAAAGACATCACAATAATTGCATATAAATGCAGGCACAGTTAGGCTTATATGAACCCAACAACTACCCTTTAATGAAATGGTTAATTAAATCGGACATGTTCAGACAGTGAATGCAGCTACATTATTGCTTCAGTATAACGTAAGAGATGTACATGCTCTAATACCGAGGTGGATCGATATTGTTCTTCTCATTTGGCTTCTTGAGAAGTGTTTTTTTTTTTTCTGAGTACTTGATATTGGCCACATTCATAATAAAGTAACAAAATGACAATCATCTATTAGGTTAAGGTACAGCAAAGTAATCATTTCTGTCCCAACATTGTGAGGATTCATTTATAAAATAACTTGGAAAAACAGCAAGAAAAAAAGGTTATGAACAAACAACTTCCTTTCCAAAATGCTTATTGTTAATAATTCATACGAATGTATTACCAGTATATATTGAAATGATTCTCTATTTGCACAAGCAAGCCATTGATTGACACAAGGTGGTGGGTAAGACATTTTTGGATATTCTAGCTGGCAGTGAAGTCATTTTTCATTCTGTAACTTTGAAATTGTGCAATTTCACCAAAACTACAAATATTGAATCAAATTAAATTAATTCATCAATTTAAAGGGGCACTCCAGCAATTTAGTTAGCATTTAAATGAAGCTGGGGAAGCAGCAGAGGTCATAATATCCATAATAGTCTAAAATGCTGCATTTCCCATAATGCAACAAATAGCATATTTTTGTTACACCCTCCCTAACTAGTTGCCACATATATTCCAGTTTAACTGGCTTACTGCTCCTTTCAGACCCACAGAAGAACATTCAACTTTTATCACAGGCTGAGAAGAAATCAATCTTAAAGTGGCACTTTGGAAATTTCAACAGAATAAACACATAGTTAAGAAAAGTTAAAATTATAAACAATAAAACACAGCCTCTACAGCATTACCTGGTCTGGTATACACTGGTACACTCTGACTAAGAGCTTTAACTAACAGTGAGAGACTTCAGATTGTCGTCTAAATTCATCCGTTGCACAAAGCTGTCTAATTTGTGAATTCTGACAAACTAAAAAACATGGTCAAGCAACTGCATCAAGAATCCACTCAGCTGTCTTTGCTCCAACAGAAAAACATTTGCCTTCTGGGAAAAAGAGTTACTAAAAGATTCAGATTCAGAGAAGACATACAAACATGGTACAAGATGTAAAGAAAGAAAAAACAAATCCCAAACTGTTGGACCACAGGAAAAAAGATTAAAGGTTATTAAATGCTGCTGAAGTTTGTGCCACTGGTCAGCAGGTGTCACTGATTGTTACCATGGAAACGTGGGTCTCGTTTCTGACGGGGGTCATTTGTCAGGTTTATTTTTGTGGCACTGTAACATTAGCCTAATGTGAGAGCAAAACGAAGAGCTTACACCACAGACCAGTCGGAAATACTTTTGTGAAACCAGCCCAAGTAGCAACAGTTTCACTATTTAAGCAAAACTTACAAAGTCTCACTTTAATGTGTAAAAAACGTCCTTTTAACAACAAAATGAATCAACCATATACTGACAATACCTGCGTGCTCTGAAGGCCCTGCGGTTCACCCACGCAGGTGTTTACACTTGTTGCATGATTAAACTCATTTTCATGGGAGGTAAAGACTGTCTGAGTTGTCAGCCAAGTAGTGGAAACACCGTGCTGGGTGTACAAATATATGTCTGGTACAATGGGAACATACTAGACATATATTAATGTCAGAGGATAAAACTTTTTAATAGACTGGAATAACAGCATTGGGAGCTGAAACATTTATAAACAATCGACAAACAAAGAATCAGCATCTATTTTGATTGTCAATTAATCGTTTGGTTTAGATTTTGTAGTGAAAATCACTGGTTCCAGTTTGTATATTTTGCTGTTTCTGTGGTTTTCTTTGTCTTTTGTGTTAGTAAATTGAATATCTATGGATTCATTCCAGGCACCTGAAGATACTTTTCAATATTCTCTGATATTTTATAGACTAAAAAACAAATTGAATAATTGGCAAATACTAAAAAAAATTTGTTCAATTAATCAATCAATAGTTTAAATAGTAATTAGTTGCAGCCATTTTTGATTCTTTGGGTTTTGACTTAATGTAAAATTGCCACATATTTTCAATAATGTGCAAGCTGCTTAGTGGATAAGCCTGTAATATGAATGAATGGGACCAAATCCAGCAGTAGGCTATGTGTATGGAGCTCCAGTGTTCATTATTAAAATAAAAATTAAATAAATTATAAAATCAATAAATTGTGAAAAATATGGCTACACCTGCATTGTTAGCTAACCAGCCAGGCGGGGTTTTCATCTTAGCTCAGCTCAAGTGAAAAAACAGCTGGTTAATTCAGAGTTAAGACGTTCCTCTTTAAAAGAGACACAACTTTGTAAGGATTAAAAAGACAGACTGACTGACTTTCTCTGTGGTTGATTCAAATAATTCTACAATTTAGCTAACAGGAGCTAACTAACTGGCTAAATTTGGTAGCAGCTGACATTAGGAAATAAAATGTGTTGTTATGAAAAGTGACATTATAAGGTAAAACTTGACATGAAATATGTTACTGAGAAAAATAAAAACAAATGTTTGAAAAATTGTATTTTTAACTAAAATGTCTATAATTAAATAAAAATTACATCTAACAAAATTCAATTCAAGTTTTACATTTCTTAAATTATTTCACAAAGTGTTGTTTTTTTGTATATTTTACCCTATGTATTGATATTTTTAATATTGCACATTTGTACATTTTGTGGGGCCTTTGTGGACACACAGACGGTTAAATTGGACAGCAGTAAAGAGAGAATATAACAAAAATGTTGCTGAAATGAAATGAGCTCAGAAATGGTGGCTGCTATTGTTATTTAGCCGGAAATATGCAGTATTTATTTGTGGTATAAACTGCATCAAGCATTGAACAGATCCTTTTCATGGTGGACATTTTGACTCATCACAGCAGAAAAAGCACAAGTGGAGTTAATAACATTACCGATGGCTGCATTCCATTTAGCTGAGCCAGTTCCAGGTTCAGGTATTTTGCGTGCTCACTCCCTGACATGGCTTACTGAAGCACTTAATGGAATGCAGCCATGTTTTGGAAAGGGGGAAATGAACTGTTGCTGTGACAGAAAAGAAGCTAAATGTAAGTACAACTTATGACCACAAATCAGCCCTTGAGCAAATCCACTAGCCAACTGTAAAAAAAAACAAACACTCATTGTGGGAATGTGTTGAGACTCGTCCACTGACAGCAGCAGCGGTGGTGGTGGTGGTGCTTACAGTTGGTCGTGCGTTGCTGCTCCTGGACAAAAGTCAGCCAGAGATGAAGCTGTGCTAGAACTGTCCTGTCAGAGGTCAAAAGGTTCACAATTGTATTGAGGCCAGTGTGTCTGAATGTGTATGGGTTGCTGTGGCAGTTTCCATGTGTTACATATTTGACAAGTGGCCATGAAACCTAAGCCAAATCTAGAATATCATTGTGGTGCTTGTGCCTCTGACTACATACATACATACATACATACATACATGCATGGTATTTTGTACTGTAATGTTTATCTTAAGTTCAACAACTATATTGTTTGTGTATATCTGCAAGCGGTTCTGTGACATCTATGCATATTTACAAGCCAATCAGATAATTGTTCCTCTCAACATGGTGATGAGAGACAAGGGAATGTTTTCTCTTTGTTGACGGAAAAAAAACAAAATGCAGGTCAAAGTCTGCTGTTCCAACAAATATGAGAAACTGGTCCGACTGCACCGTGGTGAAAACTGTGAACACCGTTCAGAATTTCCCTGAGGGGAAAACACATTTCTATATGTCATTAAGATTAACTTTACCAACCGCTCAGTGTTGGTGTGTGTGTGCACATTTTACAGTCTTTAAGGTTGATCGTCATAGCTAATTAAGCATTTAAAAACTAACAAAACATTAATGAATTCCCTGTCACATTTAAGGAAATGTTCATATTAAGAGAGAGATGAAGATTTGTTACCCCTGTTGAGCTCATTTCTGTTCCAATAGCTTTATCCAGACTCTAATTTCACACAGAAAGATTATTTTAAAGCTGAAACATCATACTGGGAATCTCTGTCCATCTTCTGAAAAGAAAACCCCAAATATCGACTTATCTGTACCAGGAGTTGTAACAACTCATTATGTAATAACACCGCATTATGTAATAACTCAGAAAAATCTAATACATTTTAAATGTATTATGTAATAACACCCGCATTTTCTAACAACACATTTTGTCATCAACACCCTGAACCCAATATATATATATAATACATTTTCCCACATTTGGTAATAAATTATATATTGTGGATTGTAAAAATGTGTGAGTTTCCCTTTTTGATTCACTGCATTTTGAATAAGCTGAAGCTTTTTGATGGTCTCTTTGGGGAGCTCTGTCAAAAAACCATTGCAGTAGTCAACCCTGTTAGAAATATGTATTATTTAAATATCTGACATCAATTCCCAGAGTTCAGCTGTATTTGTAAGATCTAAGAAGAACTATAACACCAAGAGGCACTACAGGTCATAAGAGTCTAATTTAAAGCTGCAGTAGGTAACTTTTATTTATATATATATATATATTTTTTTTATTTTTTATTTTTTGTTGTTGTTATATTTGCTGAAATTTTCACTATATCCTGACAGTAGTAAAGGTCCCTTTGGCTCCTCCTAGTGCTCCTAATGGCATTTGCAAGAATCCAAGAACACACCTGGAAAAAATAAAAAAACCAATCAGAGCCGAGAAAGATAGAACAACACTTTGGGTTGGTGGCTTGAAGATAATTAATTAAGTCCAACAATCTTTCTTGGCTCCGATTGGTTGTTCTTGTTCAGACCAGACATATTGCGTTCATGCGGTTTTATTAAAAAATGCGTCAGATTCTTAGAAAATGTGTGTTATTACATAATTTTGTCAAGTTAGCACATAATGTGGTGTTATGACATAATGTGTTGCTACATGACCTCTTCTCCTTGTTGGCTTAAAATGTAGCTTGACAATTGATTGTTGCCCTTTAAAACAGCATTTGACAAAAAACAATCTCAACTCAAGGTCCACTCACTTACTAACTTCATCTGCTGGTAAAGATTGTTTAAAGCTCCAGAACAGACAAGTTATGTGATGTAGTGAAGTGGCTACCATGGTATAAAACATATGGCTCTGACAGTAGACATCTCTCTATCTCTCTATCTATATATATATATATATATATATATCATCATATCTCCCACCTTAAC